GAACTTGGATCTCTGGTTTCTCATTGTGAACTACTATCCATGACATAACCCACACATCTTATTTTACCATAGAGATGCATTGCTAATAATTTAAAATGCACTGAAAATGAAGGGAGATGGGACTGTTTATGGATTAATGTAAGCCTTACTGACGGAAAAGGGCAATTATATATTCAGCTTTGAGGAGAAATATCTGATGCCTGTAAATTGCTGTGATGATTATCATGAAATTTTTAATCTCATCTAATCAACAGAAACAACAAACATTTCAAGGGAAGTCTAAAATCTGCTGTTTGAAGTTTCAGCCATGAAGGATTATCCTTATTCCATAGATTATCTGTTTGTCTTATTGATTTGTGGGTAGCATAACTTGTCAGCATGGAGAGTGGAATTGGAAAAAAGCATGAATTATTCTGTTTTGTCTTCCAGCTATGATTTGAGGGGCAGGGCAGATTCAGCTCCCTAGCCTTGGTTGTTGGAGATAGATGTAAGTAAATATTCAGATATAAATGAAATATATCTGCAAAGACAATATAAATAAATGACAAAAGGAACATCTTTCTTGAGAGTGCAGTCATTGATTGTTGCATAAATGTTAACTTACACCACAGATTATTTCTTAATGGAAACCCTCCTTTTCCAAGCTAAAACTACATGACCATAAAAATTCTTAAAAATGAAAAAGATCTTTTAACTCAAGATGTTTTAATATTGAAAATAAATTAATACATAAATAAACTATATAAAATAATATAAATAATGAAAAAACAATAAATGAATTAATAAATAAATTAAAATTCAGCAACATTTATTCACTTTTATTTATTAGGCAATAAATTAGATCACTTAACATCTACCATAGTTTATTTACTTTTTCCTTGCACAGATAGCTTTAAGAGTATTTTAGAATGTTTAAAAATTAAAAATTTGTAAACTTAGTATTTTTTCTTCCACTTTTGTGTATAAATATAAGTTACAAAATAAAATCTTTATTTACTCTGAAGTTCTTCATGGGACAAAATGAAAGAAAAACTTAGCCAATGCATTTCATTGTCTTGGGTACTTTATCAAAAGAAATGCAAGGATTTTGTTTTGTAACAAGTATTTATATATTAGAGCAAAAGTGTCATTGTTTTTGAAAGGTATTAAATTTAAGAACACTCATAAATATTCATCAGGTTAACCAAAAAGTTTCGACAATCTATGGAGAACATCAATGTCTAATAAATCAATGTGAGTAAATGATATTCTGGGTATATCATCTATTTTATTTATTTTTTTAAGAGGTTTTAATATATACAAAATGAAGATTTCTTTTGATTATTTATCCATTAATTCTTTCCATCAGTGTGATTTTTCAAAATGGGTATTTGTTTCCCTAACTTGTTTGGACACTAATAAGCTCTATATTGCTTCTCATGTCTAAAGGAAAGCATTAGCATGCAAACAGTTTACAATAATTTAATTCCTTTGGTTTGTTAATCCATTAACATCCTTGAATTCTATGATTTTCAGCTTTTCATCCATACATTTATGTATCAAGAACATTAACATGGCATCTTCCAGTCTGATAAGTGAAAAAAAGCATCATACTTGTCACCATCTCGAGAAACTGTTTCAATAAAATACTTAGGTTATTGAAAAGAAACTTTTTCATTATAGTTTAGCCAATTTTATTGAGTTTCTTTATAAAAATTTATCTCATATTCTCCCATATATATATATATATATATATATATATATATATATATATATATATATATATATAATGAGCAGCCAATACTCGGCCTAAGAGCTGCTTAAGATTGAGGGTTCATTATGGTGTTGTATGAGTGTAAGAGAAGGCAAGAAATTCAGTTTATGAGGTTATGTAGGAAAGACAATGGTTAACTTTACACTTGAAGAGGTTAGGATTGAAGTCATCAGGAAAATATCCAGCCAGGAGTCTGTTCCACAAAGCAGCAGTACTACTGAAGAAGCTGTATGCATGGAATTTACTTATTATTGACATCAAGTAATTTAGAACACATCGTTTGTTAGCCATAAATGGGAAACAATATAAGTGACATGCTACATTTTAAAATTCTCTTTCAAATGTATCAAGAACATTAACATGACATCTTCCAGTCTGATAAGTGAAAAAAAAAAGGCATCATACTTGTCACCATCTCAAGAAACAGTTTTAATAAAATACTTAGGTTATTGAAAAGAAACTTTTTCATCCCTCGCTTTTGCGCCATCAGACCCCTGATGTGGACTATAGGGCTACTGCTGCAACTAACATGATGGCATCTGTGGTTTCAATAGCAACTAGTTTCCAGCTCCACATCCAACTGGTTTTTAATTCATATTTGCCCTTCTCTTGAACTAATTGTTAACGAAGGCTAGAGAGCCCACCTTGCCCTATTGGTGATTGCTTTGCTGGTGGGGGGGGGGGAGAAATAGATTCATATATTTCCCAAAAGCATTTATGCTAAATTGAATGCGACTGCATTGCACAGGAATTTGAACTCTGTATGCCAAGTGCACTTTCCATACTGATAATTGCTAGGTTAGAATTTTAAGATTTATATATCTATTTTTTTTTTTTTTTTTTTTATTAAAGTTCACCTAAACCAAAGGCGTCCTAGGTATGATGATAAACTAAATCTGACAGCAAGGTCTCTGATTGGGAGTTTAGAGGTTTTCAGGAGCATAGAACCACCTTTCTGAGCATAATTGTTGTTCCCAGGTCTACCCTGACTCAGGGTGATAGAACCTTTCAGGGTCCCAGCTATGGACAAATAGTAAAACCCGAGCAAAGATCAAAACATTTTTTTTTATAATAAAAGTACCAGAGATAAGTTTTATAAAAAAAAATACCAACAATACATTTTTGTAGTAAAATTACCAGCAGTACATTTTTATAAAAAATAAAAATTATTACCGATAATATATTTTTATAGCAAAATGATAATCACTCCAACACTAAAAAGTATAAAAATACATATTTATAGTAAAATTACCAGTAATACATTTTTTTCTTTTTGAATAATTACCAACAATACATTTTATCATCTCTAAACTATATATCTAAAAAAAACATGTTTGCGCTGAAAGTGTAAAATTATGTACAAAATATCTGTAATTGAAGTCATAAAACTGTGTATAAAATATTTAGATTTCAGCATTAAATAACCCATAGAGATTTATATGCTGCTAAATAAAACACCCAACTAACCTAATACAAAGCTCAAGAGCCACTCTAGGTAGAGGATTACTAAATGAGTTAGTGATATGAGAGGAAGAAATAGGGAATGAAGCTTTAAAAATATGACTAATAATATATAACTATTGACCCTCAACTTGAACTGGTTAAGATTGTACTCTTCTAGGAAGTATTAATATGGTATCCTGTCTGACAAAGTAGTGTCTCTTGGGAAAAATCTTTAATACCTTTGAATTGCCATGACTATTGAGAATATTTTTCTCAAAGACTTGTTGACAAATAATTCTAGAGAGCTCATTAAATATTTATCTGGAAGAAATGGAAAAAGGGGAAATTCTATAATCTGGATGTGTCAGTGTTTAACTGTATCCCTGTCCTGAATATGATGATAAACATACATCTGGCAGCAAGGCCTCTGATCAGGAATTTTTGAGGAGTATGGAACCACTTTTTAATTGCTGTTGTTCCCAGGTACACACTGACCCTGGCTGGTAACACATGTTAGGGTCCCAGCTATAATATTTAGCTATCCCCCCACGTAAACTCGTATTGTAGGTCATCCAAGCCCGTAGGCCCAGCCAAAAATATAGTCTTCGAACCCGCCTAGGCGGGTTCGAGTACTGTCAACCTCCCCGAACGAAACCTTGCCCTTCGGCAAAGCTTTGTCCGGGTTCCTCCCTGCTAATGCAGAGTTAGACAGACGGCGCTGGCTGTAACTTTAATACAGTTAGGGCCCCAGCTATGGACAAATAGTTAATTCATAAACTGGGGTCAAAACACTGTGAAAGTATAAACAATTTTATAGTAAAAAAAATAGCAATACATTTTCATAGTAAAAAAAAAAAAAAATTTACCAGCAATAAATCTTTGTAAAAGGAATTAATAATGGTCCCAAAAGTGCCATAAGGATTTGATGTGCTGCTAAAGAAGCAAACAAATGAATTGTTTCCAATATTCTGGATATATTAATGTTTATTTGTATCCAATGTCCTGGTGACATGAGTAACCATTCACTTCTCCAAGTTTCATATTTTAATTTCGCTTCACATCAAATATCTAATGATTGTTGATTTTCAGCTGAGCTAGGTTAGAGAGGACATTCTACAAGAAAAAAAAAAGATAAGAAACCGTTTTTCCATCACCTCCTGTGAACGATATTGATATATTTTAAGTTAATAACAATGAAACATTTATTTTTATGTTCAGTTCAACTATTTTATTTATCTAAAACTCAAATCTATTTCCTCCTTAATTTGCTTGCATTTGATTATCAAGAGTGGTTTATTAAATTCTCTATAAACAGCACAAGTAATTAGATTTCTTCTGATCTTTATGAGAAAAAAAGACGTATATTTCATTAAAGAAAATCATACAATTTGATAATCTCCTGAATTCTATCTGAAGATTTCAAATTCCTTCGAAGAATGACAATAGTCAGCTGAAATTAATCTCAAAGTGGCTTGACTAATTAAATTTGCCTCCGATAGACAGACGAAAAACTGAAGTTGATAAACAAACAAGTGTTATAATTGATAGTGATTTATATCATATGACTATCAACTATTTTATAGATATATTAATGTACTTGTAAAGAGTAGGAAGATTGTACAGCATTATTCCACTGGGTGATAAATACTTGTGCACTGGCTTGGAAAAGTAAGATTTGAAATTGTTTTTAATGTTTTGGAATTTAATTACTGTTAGTTCCAAAAAGTAACTCTCAATCATAAATCATAAAATGGAGATCTGTCAAAAGACAAAATACCTAGATACCTAGCTAGAAAGGAAAGATTTATGATAGATTGATAGATATGAAAAGATTTATGTAGATATGAACAGATTGAGGCAGTATAAGTACATTGAAATAGGTGGATAGATGGCTATAAGAAAACTGAGACATAGATGCAGGGTGAGCAAGGTGAGCAGATGAGTGCAGGGTGAGCAAGGCGAGCGGATGAGTGCAGGGTGAGCAAGGCGAGCGGATGAGTGCAGGGTGAGCAAGGCGAGCGGATGAGTGCAGGGTGAGCAAGGCGAGCGGATGAGTGCAGGATGAGCAAGGCGAGCGGATGAGTGCAGGGTGACCAAGGCGAGCAGATGGATCTGGTCAGACTGAGACGGCTGGTTACAGGCAGACCAAGATGGACAGACAGAACTGGAATAAACCAAATAGATACAAAATGCCAGAGAGATTTAAAGATGAAAGGACTGAAAGAGACAAAACGAGTGATGTAGATAAATGTGAAGGGTTTGAAATTGATATGAATAAACAAGATTTATATAATGAGATAGTGAAATAGGTATGGAAGGATGAAAGTAAGTACATACTTTGATATACAAGAAAGTTGGCGGAGGAAAAGTTCAAAGTTCTTGGCCTGACCAGGACATAATTCTTTCCTAAAATCAGAAAGGTATTAAGAAAAAGACTGAAATAAAGATCTGACCAAAATACAATGAGCAGGTACATGTTCTTTGGGTACCTGTAAAAATTGTGCTAATTTACAGACTACTCCAGGATTGTAAGATTATACAGCGCTAAACTTTCAACTGTGGTAAAACTGGCTCAGAAATAACCAGTCCCAATCCAGACTTTCACTACATACGTTTGAGGTGAGCACCTAACTACTTCAATATTCAAGCAGATCTGTATATAAGTAAATGGAATCACATGTCATATGGTAAAGTTTAACAAGCCAGTCTTCTTAGTCATTGCTACAGAGTTTGCGCTTTCCTTGCTGCTCTGTTAATTTGACCTTGTGCCAAAGTTAACGATCTCTGTAGTTTATCTGACTGCACTGTCACTGTTTTGAGGCGAATAATTGTGTTGGTTTGAAGAAACCTGAAGACGAGGATTCTGATGATGGAAGGTGGCAGCAATCAATATTAATTTTCGAATCAGTCATGATAAGTGATTGCAATAAATGATAACAGACAAAGAGTTTCAAGGTATTGGTAAGAAAATGTTTCTCAAGATCTGAAAATATTAGTGTAGTCTCAAAGGTTTTTCTATTTGCCATGTCCCTTCATAATGTGGGTGATTATGGCTTTCCACTACTTCTTATTAAACTATACAAACTGTCTTCAACACAAAAAGATGAGTTTAAAAGAATATATATTTTAAACATTGTTATATACTGTACCTATGAACACTAATGGGTATGTTCCAATCCTCATAAATATGTTGGAATAGTCAGGGTAATATGCTGTCTAAGTAGTCCACTACTAGCAGTGGTTTACCTACTTCATGCTGCTGGTGCGTATTGTATTTTGTTGATGTTATAAAGATTACCATTTCATTTTTAACCTGTTTTGATTATTCTGCATTCAGTAACCCTTCCTAGGTTAAAGGAGACATAAAGTTCTTATTTGATATCCAGAGCCAAGCAAGATTGAGCCTGGTCAGTACTTAGATGGGTGACTGCTTGAGAATACCAGGTGCTGTAAGCTTGGATGTGTAAGTGGTATAATGGATAACAGCTCAGAATTAGAAATTGGAGGGCAGAGTTTGAATTTGTAAAGCTTTTTGAAGCTGTACACTTATGTGATACATCTGAATTTGAATTGGAGCATTACCAACAAAGGTCTATATATAACCAATATACCATATTGACAATATTGTTCTTGATCATAATAGAAAAAGTTAAAACTGCTTGGACGAAAACATCAATTTGGGACATTTTCTCCATAATTTTGATGTGACAGAACTTATATGAAAACTGGAAAATATAATTAAAAAAAATGAAATCAGCAGAACCTGTAAGTTGAATTGAACAAAAATTCTTCAAATGAATTCTTGCTACCTAAAAATACACACACACACACACACACAGTGGTTAGATCTCATATGGTGTGAATTTGCTAGTTACTGTGTAGTGTTGATTTCATTATCCACATTATTTATATCTACAGGCACTATATTTGCTATATTAAGCACTCTTTCTCTCTCAATGTAGCAAATTTTAATCTTTTTATATATAAAAATTAAAACATATAGGGTGCTATATATTTTAAAACTCACCTTTAGCTGGCCATGAGTATAAGATGACACACCAAATTTTACCATTCTCTTTCAAACAGTTCAAGAGGATTAACATAGCTTCTTCCAGTTTAATACAGGAAAAGAAAAAGCACACCATGTTTGCAACACTATCCTCCATCCAAGAAAACCTGGAGATTACCAACTTCTTGAAAGTAATCAAGTTAACAGACAGAAGAGGTATCTGTGTGCAGACCCTTACAAGTGTTGCATACAACTTCATAACATCACTGATGATGTTTCGGGTTGTGAGCAATGAGCACCATGTTATACTATTTTACTTACAACAGTGAGGTATTTAATGGTTCGACAGGATGGTGATATATGATCCAACAAGATTCTTCTCCCTTTCACAGGGTCACATAGTCCAGCAATGGCTGGCTCAGAATTCTCAAAATCTTGTCACCATAACATATGACCACTTATCTTTCCTTGTTGAATGCCTGAGACAACACATCTGGGAGCCCAATCAGTACCCTACCCCCTCGACAATACCATTGTGAATGTAATAGATAACACAGAAATGAACCACCTGATTTGGGAACGTCATCATTTTCAACGCTGCATCAAAGGAGTCTTTGATGCTTAGAGTAGTTTTATTGAATAATCCTTTTCTTTTTTTTTTTTTTTTTCTCAAAGTTGAACATGTATATAAAATTTTTCGAAAATATACTCTTCTATTTTGTATTTGATATCTTTGTTTTCTTCCTATTATAATCAATTCCCATTTACCTGGCAAACCCATATATATATATATATATATATATATATATATATATATATATATATATATATATGTGTGTGTGTATCATTTCACCCCAAACAAAGCAACAAACACACCAAGATACAAAAGGAATTAAAACAAAACATAACAGTTGACATTCCATTCAAATTTTTGAAGATCAAACTTGATTGCAAAGCAATATGCCAGAAGAGATTTCCCCAAGCAGTGAGTGCAAGAAAAGAAAAGACAAACCTTGATAAGAATTACAAAAGACATGAATTTGTCGAGCGCCATCATTGTCAATGCCTTGAGGGGAAATAGTAGAAACTATATGGAAAATTATGAGCAGCTTGTGGAATAGTTTATCATTCATGATTTAATCTCAGAAAGACCGAATGTCAGAGCTATGTTAGTCAGAGTTCAATTTTATTTCTTGCATTTATTTATTTGTTTTTTGTTTTTTTTTTGTGGGGTCTGTAATTTTGAGGCCAACTGCAATATTGGCTTTTATTACTTATTAGCTGACATCCTGTTTCTTATGTTCTGGCTTGTTTGTTAAGCAACATCTCTCACTAACCCTGAATTCGATTAATGAAGAAAACCATAAAAAGGTTCTCTATAAAACGGGACTGTTCTTAATTACCGATAATTGCTCCAACCTGAAATGGAAGACATAAAAATACAAATAATCCCTAATTAATTACTTGTTTTGGCGACTCAAGACTCAACCGTATTCATTGTTTGCAAAGAAAATGACTGCACCGGAAATAAGCAGAAAGAATGAGAAAGCAAGGAACAACAGAAAAAGCAAAAAAAGCAAAAAAAAAAAGAAGATTATTGTTTATATAAGGTATTGTGTATTCTGGCTAATTTCCCAACATTATTGAACCAACCCCAGTGAAACAACATAGGGGCAATAATAAATGTCGTTGTAATGGGAGTTGCAGCAGTCATCACTGAAGTAATAAATCAAAATAATCATTGTAGGCTGATGAAGAAAAAGAAGTATTTTTAGCAATAACAATGAGGACAAAAAAAGAAGAAATAATTTAATTGCTTAATGTTCTTTTAAATGATTTGGGCAAAGAACAAGATGAAGTTTGGAAACATAGTAATGACAGCAAACATAATTATTATTATTGTGACACATACACTACAAATGCTTTGTGGACACCCATGTTTAAGTAGAAATCCTGTTTCTTTAAACATTGTAAATTACATCTCCTGGCCTGCACATGTGAGAGACTTGTGCCCCTCTGGAGAAGAAACCACCATCTGACTTGGTGTAATTTCGACTGCTGACCTTGAGTTTAGAGTAAGAGAAAAAAATGACATAAAAAAAATCCATTGATTCTTTAGAAAAATGCATAAATTTATGTATGTATGTATTCATGTATATAAAAGTTGACATTGAAGTCAACAACAGACAGTAGCCTCTTGGCGTTGACCTCAGTGTCCACTTTTAAATTTACATATGCTCTATTTCTGATATTGAGCACTTTTACCCCCAAATATAGCATACTGTAAAACTATATTTTTATCATATATATATATATATATATATATATATATATATATATATATATATATGTCCCATCCAAGTGTCAGGTAAGTTAATACCAATGTCTGAACATTATATTTTTAAAAAAATGCTCAATACTGAAATAGAGTCTGTCTATATTTCTGAGATGAGGTATTATGTACATTATTTAGACTATTGTCCTCATCTTTGTCGCCATATTTATCACAACGTTGTATGCTCCAGCCTTCTTCAGATGGTTGGAATGTCAAACCGAACCCTTTATTTTGCTCACTGGGATAGACTGTTCTAGTTCCACGTGCCATGTTTGATGGATGTCAGCTATCAGTTATCTCCTGTTAATTTTCCCTCTGAAAGTTCTCCACTGCCTTAACCGGGTATTGAACTCACACTCTTTGGGTCTTGTCACTAGATCTAACCAACGTCTTTATCCACTGTGCCATGGTTAAGGGGAGAAAATATCCCTAAATTTCTAACATGGTAGGTGGTCACCTTGAGTAACCAATCAGATGTAAGACCTATGATGAGCTTGAAGTTAGCTGTACAAGTTATTTGGAATCACATTTAGATGTTAAGTGTCAAGCTTTGGTTTTAAGTCAACAAGCTAACATAAGGATATCAACTATCGAGATGAAAGCAAAGGATAAGTCTACCAATAAACCTGTCTATGCTCCAGAATATATATGACAGTTTATTTTAAAATAATTCCTATACCTCTTTTTCTCTTGCTCTCTCTATATCTGTGTTACATAATTTCTAATCAACTATTTCATAGAAAATCTCCCCAAATTTAAAAAAAATTTAAATCACTAACAAACATCAAATTAAGTACTTTGTAGACAGTTTAGACATTCAAATTTATATCAAACATTATCATCTTTATGAACCCCCAAAATAACACTTTCAAAGTAAAACAAAATGACTGCGTCTGTTTCTAGCCTGTTTTTTTTTTTTTCAAAGAAAATTAGTGACACCTTCTCTCATGACTTCCTTCTCTCTTTTTAAATTGTGTTCTTTCTCCTCTAT